TCTGCCGGAACTATCATTTTGTCCGGGTCGGGAAACTCCGACTCTTCGTAAGCGAAGACGGCAATGTTGAGCAGAGTTCCGGACATGACCTAGAAACACTATATTAGCAAGTGATGAATGATCAGAGTGAACCGAGTACGAACCGGATACACCAACAGGTCTGCATTTGGACCCAAGTGATTGCAGGCGCACTTCGCAACTTTGTTGCCAAGGGCTGCAATCCCCTCTTCGATAGGTACCATGGTACGGTAGACGACAGTGTGACTAAAGCCCGGCCGGCTTGCGGGATGGTCGGCCCCCAACATGAATTTCCGGGTGGCCGAATGGATACCGTCGCAGCCAAGCAATACATCGGCCTCGGCTGTGCTGCCGTCGTCAAAGTGAAGCACGACCTTTCCGCTCTCGTGGTCGTCGTCGTAGCTCACAAGCTGCTTGCCAAACTTTGCCGCACCTTCAGGAAGAAGGTCCGCCATCCCTTGCAGGAACTGCGAGCGTACGCAACCCCAGAAGCTGAGGTTATTGGTTGGCGTCCGGAAGAGCAAAGACTTTGACTCATCCTCAGATTCCTCCCGGGTTCGCGGGTGGTAGCCATTCCAGTAGGCGTTGCTCGTGTTGGCGTCCGTCTTCTGGCTGATGTTGCCCAAGAGTTCGACGAGAGCAGGATCCAACATCTCCATCCAAACCCGTGCTGCGCCTGTGAATGCAAATCCAGCGCTAACTTCATGCCAGGTAGGTGCTCGCTCGTAAATAACTGCTTTGATACCGCGACGACGGAGACCGAGTGCCGTGATGACGCCGACTACGCCACCGCCCACGATGGCGACCTCGAGAGAGGGCGCAACACCGTTGCCGTTGTTGTTGCTGTTTGCCATGGTGAAGATGCTTAACGAATTCTGATTCTGTAGATCCCTTTTGAAGGCGGATTTACACTTTTCTAAAAGTGATTATGCTGAAGAAAGTACCAAGAAGCCTGCAGAATCAAGATTAGAGAGACTGCCAAACAATACAATATATACAAAACATTTAACAAAGATATGTAGTATCAGCTGATGTCAAATTATATACATCAATTATGGTTAGTCCGGTAGATAACTGTAACGGGACATCTGTAAAGCGGAGCCTGCTCGTAAGTTACTGCACCACTCGTGCGTCTGGATCTTTAATCCGGACTTTCAATTCCCCAGAATCTGCCCACTCCTAATCCCCCACCAAGGAGTTCCGAAATACCCATTCACCTGCGTTAACTTAAATTTTGACTCAGATTCATTGTCACATCGCGTATATGCGGTCTTTTCTGTAACACAGGTACAATACCGCGTACATTAATTAACCAGATATTCGGTGTCTTCTCCATGTGCTTGGCACGTGCTTACCGTCGCGCTGGGATGCTGAAGTGATAAATGGTGCATGCCAAACGGCCAAAGCCTTTCCACCCCAATAATTACGTTTGTTTCTGTCATGCAGAATCGAATTTCCTGTTCGCACATGAGAATAATAGTGCTTATTTGTGTGCTGACTAGTCGCTGTTATTTTCTTCCGTAACTCCGAAGACAATTCTCAGCTTGAATCCTTCGTCCTGCACAAAAGTTCCTGCGGTAAGGCAACTAAGCCCGGTATGTACCTCACTCTACCACAGTTTGGAAAAGAGGCAAAAGATAGCATCAGCTTATTTAAAAAGAGCAAAGATGGGTTCGGTGTTAGTCGTTCTTCACAAAACATACCAAACAAGTCGGCCCATTCTGCGCGATTGAACGCTTAGATCGTTCGTTGACTACCCATCTCAACTATTACTCGGACCATCAGTCGCCTCCATCTCACACCACATCGGACAACGACGATGGCTTCCGTTTCACCTACCTCGCTATCAAACGTTCGTGAAGCAACAAGCTTTATTTTTGGAGGACACATTGGGCCACAAACCAAAAACTCTTTGGAAAAACAAGTACGGCAAATTGTTGACGGAGATAATGGAAAATGGATACTAGAAACCTTGGCCGGTTTGCCACGGTACTGGCAAGCCTTGACACAAGAGATCCCTGAGTTGGCCAGTACAATGGACGGTGCTCGTCTGCTGGCTGATCTCGAGTCTTGGTTCCGACATGGTGCCGATTCCGTTGTGACGCTAGCTCCGGACACCGAAATACCAGACCTTTGGATCGGGGTTCTAATGGTCTCGATTCAGCTGGATCAGTACTGGCGCTATCTACAGTTTCGATTCAACAGTCTGACTGTAATAGATGCAAAGGACCTGCAAGCACTCCTACTTAAGAAACAACAGGAGCAACCGCCTGGTGGAAGCAATAAAGTTGAGACGGTGGGCTTCTGCGCTGGAATGATCGCTGCCGTCGCCGTCGCAAGCTCCCACAATCGACAAGAATTCGAAAAGTACGGTGCCACGGCACTGCGCATCGGGGCGCTGATGGCAGCCCTCGTTGGAGCCACTGAAGCATCAACAAAGGGCCTTGGCAAAGGCGGCTCCGTCTCTTTGGCTACAGCGTGGAGAACTCCAAAACAGAGCCAGGATATGGTTCGCATCGTCTCCAAGTTGTCACCTGATGCTTACATCTCTGTCCTCTTCGACGAATCTCGAGCCACCGTGACAGCTTCGGAGCGCCTTGTGCCCAAATTGGTCAGACAGCTTCGGGCAGCGGGCATCACTGCCATACCGCTCGCCTTCAAAGGTCAACTCCATACACCAACGGCAGAGCGGCAGCGTCAGACTGAAGCCTTGATCAAAGTGTGCCACTCTTTGCCTGAGCTGCAGTTCCCGGATGCTGCCAAACTGGCATTGCCCACTTACCTCGATCACCCCGAGGGGAAGCAGATCTCAGGTGAAGAAGTCGACTTGGTTGGTATGGTGTTGCGCTCCATCCTGGCCCATCAGTTAAACTGGACCAGTACCGTGTCGAAACTTGTAACCAACAAGGAAGATATCTCACTCATTGCTTTTGGACTCGATCGTCCTCTACCACCCACCATTCTGCGCGCATTCGGTTCAAAACAAGTACACTTTGAGGATGTCGAAGATGAAATAAACAAATTTAGGGTACCATTGCGCCAACAGCCACAAAGCAATGACAATAACACGGTAAATGGCCCAGGCGTCGTCGAGCTAGCTCAAGCCACGCAACAGAGCGCACCTAGCGTCAAGCCCGAAGAGGATTCCGAAGATGTTATTGCCATCGTGGGCATGTCTCTCAAGGTTGCGGGTGGTCAAGATTTAGAAGAGTTTGAGCAGATGCTCAAGACCGGAGAGTCGCAGCATGAGGTCATTACGCGTGAACGCATGACATCCGACATGTTGTTCCGCGACAATCCCGACCCTGACAGAAAGTGGTATGGCAATTTCATGCGCGACGCGGATGCTTTCGATCACAAATTCTTCAAGAAGAGTCCACGTGAGGCGATGGCGATAGACCCGCAAGGCCGACTTTCGCTGGAAGCGGCGTATAATTCTATCGCACAGTCCGGATATTTCAACGAGCTGGCCACCACCAGCACAGCCGAACACGAAAGAAGAAAGCACGTAGGTGTTTACGTTGGCCTCTGCTCCTATGAGTACGACGTCAACATCCATTGCCACCCAACCAGCGCCTTCACAGGAACGGGAGAGCTGAGGAGCTTCATCCCTGGCAGGGTATCGCATTACTTCGGATGGACAGGTCCATCTTTGACATTCGATACCGCATGCTCATCTTCTACGACCGCTCTTCACATGGCTTGTAGAGATCTGCTGTCTGGTGAAGTCCCGGCAGCGCTTTGCGGTGGTGTCAATGTCTTGACTAACCTGCAGTGGACACAAAACCTCGCCGCTGGCAGCTTCATCAGTCCGACAGGTCAATGTAAACCATTCGACTCCAATGCAGACGGCTACTGTCGCGGCGACGGAATCGCCTATGTCTTCCTGAAAAAGCTTTCAACTGCCGTGGCCGATGGCAACACAATCCTCGGAACCGTTCGCGCTACTGGTATCAATCAGAATCTAAACACCACGCCACTGTTTGTACCCAACGTACCTTCGTTATCGACACTCTTCAATGATGTGATCCGCAAAGCTCGCGTAGATCCGCGGGATATTTCGTTGGTCGAGTGTCATGGCACTGGTACACCCGTCGGAGACCCTGCAGAATGGCAAAGTATTCGTAATGCTGTAGCAGGTCCTCTGCGCAACACTGTACTGCCCATTGGCTCGATCAAGGGTCATGTTGGTCATACGGAGGGTGCTTCCGGCATTGTCTCTCTCATCAAGGTTCTCATGATGATGCGAGGCAATTACATTCCTCCCCAGGCTAGCTTCAAAAGTATGAATCCCAATATTCATGCGCAGTCGTCAGACAACATGGAGGTTGTCACATCATTACGGTCCTGGCCGGGAGACCGAAAGGTCGCTTTGCTAAACAACTATGGTGCCTGTGGATCCAACTCAAGCGTGGTAGTTGCTCACTCGGCTCATAAGTCTGCCAAACCCTTCTTGCCCGGATCATTGCCTAAATTACCCTTTTGGATCTCAGGCCTCGATGTCCGCAGCATTGCGGCTTATAGCGCCGCGCTGGCCCCCTATATCCGCTCTCACACTGCATCTGAAGATGGGCGAGCTACCTTGGCCGATTTGTCGTTCAACATGAAGTGGCAATCAAACCCCGGCCTTCCACAGGGGCTGGCCTTTAGCTGCAGTTCCTTGGGAGAGCTACAAGACAAACTTGCCAAGGCAGCCGCGGCTACTAAAGACACAGCCTACAGCGTTGGCATTTTACCTGTAAAGCCTGAGCGCCCTGTCGTTCTTTGCTTCGGTGGTCAGGTTTCGACATTTGTCGGACTCGACCGCGCGATATACGATGGTGCAGCGGTCTTGCGGCATCACCTGGATGAATGCGATGCTGCCATCACATCCCATGGCCTAGACAGTATCTACCCTGGTATCTTCTCTTGCGAGCCGTATCAGGATGTAGTCAAGCTCCAAACAGCGCTCTTTGCCATGCAGTACGCCTCGGCCAAGAGCTGGATAGACTGTGGACTCTCCGGCAAGGTAGTGTCCCTCGTGGGCCATAGTTTTGGCGAGATAACAGCACTCTGTGTAGCCGGTGTGCTGAGTCTGGACGATACAGTCAAGGTGATTGCTGGTCGGGCTAAACTTGTACAAAGCTCTTGGGGACCCGATCCAGGCGCCATGATGGCGATCGAGGCTGATGAAGCTCTTGTGCATCAGCTCCTTAAGAAATCAAACCTTGAATCTGACGGATCCGCTGCTATCGCCTGTTACAATGGACCACGTAGCTTCACCGTTGCCGGATCGACAAAAGCTATCGACGCATTTGCCGCTACGCTGACTGGGAAAGGCAGCGCGATTGAGGGCGTGAAGAGCAAGCGCCTCAATGTCACCAATGCGTTCCATTCCGCCTTGGTGGAAAACATCGTCGACCGCCTTGGAGAGGTCGGTAAAGGAGTCACCTTCCATGATGCTGTCATTCCGATAGAACGTGCCACAGAGCATGACGACCCGACAGCCCCATTGGACTGGACTTTTGTCGGCTCCCATATGCGCCAGCCCGTCTTCTTTAACCACGCCGTACAGCGACTCGCAAAGAAGCACCCTCAAGCCATCTTCCTCGAGGCGGGCTCCAACTCGACCATTACCGTTATGGCTTCGCGCGCACTTGCTCAGACGGCGCCAACGCACTCTGATACGCTCCACTTTCAATCCATGTCAATCACCAACACAAAGAAGGGCATCGATAGGCTTACAGATGCAACTGTAGATCTCTGGAAACAAGGATTAAGAGTATCCTTCTGGCCTCATCACCGAGTCCAAAAGGACGAGTATGCTCAGCTCCTCCTGCCGCCGTACCAGTTTGAGAAGTCTAGGCATTGGCTA